TCAAAGGTTATTCCTCCTTCCTTATTGGACTATAAACATTATCCTTTTGATGGGTTGTCTTTGCAGGTCCCACAACCAGGGACAGAATCCTTTACACGTGTGTAGCATCTATGTATAGTCAACAAAACATAACCAGCTTCACCCCTCAAGTTCTGTTTAATTTACTGTAAAACAAATGTGTGGAGCAACTTCCATCTGATGAAGAAGTGCATTCAGAGCCTGTAGGTTCAGGGTAATTGTAATGAAGATAATAAAACTAAACTCAGTTGGGACACTAGTCTGTTGCTTTTCACTGGATTCACTCAGGTGTGTCGGCCAGAACACCACTTCAGGCCTTATTCCAGAATATGAATGACAAGAGTGCAGATTTGGTTGAATGGCTGTTTACTTCTTCCTCATAGTGAAACAAAATACAGGCATCTCAGTGGCCATTCAATATGACAGAGTATTGGGTCTTGTTGTGGTTTTCTATAAGAAAAAGAATAGCAGAATATATACTTAAGGAACACACTGAATGCACAATCATGAATACTATCATACCACTAATAATAACATAGACACTATACAGTAATGTAATAGGTTATAATGTAAATAAATAAAGGTAAGCTACATGCCTCTTTAACCTAAAGTATTAAGCACAGAAAGCTATAAGAAAAAGAATAGCAGAATATATACTTAAGGAACACATCTAATGCTTCATCTACCTCTTAATAACATAGAAAAAACACTAACACAGTAATTAAAGTTATAATATGTAAATAAATAAAGTAAGCTACATGCCTCTTTAACCTAAAGTATTAAGCACAGAAAGGCTACCGTAGGCTTAATAGTCATACAATCATTTCCTTATAAAAATACTACAATGCTTTTATTGTGAAGCACGGACATCAAACTTTCCTCCTCGTGCAGAGAGCAACACAGTTAGTAAGCATGTCGGGCCGTGACGTCGGCTAATTAGCATATCCAGAATACTCCGAACACCTAAGCTCTAAACTCTGGCTCCTCAGGAGTTAACAACTTTGCCTTAACATTAAAGAACACACAATGTCACATGTAAGTACTCACTCTTTTCATTCACGCACAACCAACTTATGAAGTGATTACTCTGCACACTGATGGCTCATCTGCCATCGACTGATGCACACTGCTCATTGCTACATGATGTAATTCGCTAAAATGACCAGCAGATGACACCTCTCCCCTATTGAGCACAATATCATCACATTAAACTGAACAGGAATCAAACACAATTTTAACATAAAGCAAAAACCTTAACATGTAACTTTTGGGGCCTTTTCTACAGTAATATCAACCTACACTAATAGATCTTTTGTTCCACATTTCAACTGTACCGTATGTTGTTGGGCACTTCTTCAGAAACCTTTCTCTCAACCGATTAAAAGCACTTACTGAAATAAAGAGCAAACCCCAAAAAAACTTAAGAGGGTTTTCCCGCTCAGAGCGGACAGAGCTGATGGATGGGGGTGTCCTTGAACTCCTGTGCCGGGAGCTGATGAGAACATATAGTTATCTTTTTTGAGTCTGAAGGCATGTGGCATAACTGTTAGGGCAGCAAGCATTCTGGTTTGTAGTGAGGTTGTCAGAATCGTCTATACTTAACTACTTCTTAATGTCATGTTGTACAAATATTCAATCTCTGTTATTTCAACGATCAATACCATAGCATCCAAAAGTGCTGAAGCATCACAAAAGAAACTACAGTTCTTCAGTCATATTCTTCACCCAAAGGTGCTGCGAGGGAAAGATGCACTGCACACATTTGTTCAATTTAGACTATGTGAAGAAGTAATTTGCAACTATTATTTTTAATTTAAATTACCAAATATTGGGTGCCTAGAACTTTTGTTGCCTGGTATCAAAATAACAATTGATATTGTTTGTGTTTTTCTTGTATTCTACCTATGTTTTAATTCTTATACTGGAAGAACTCTTTGTATTCTACAATTCATTTAGCAGACGCTTTTATCCAAAGCGACATCAGAGTCTGCTAGTCCTGTCCACTAGCTTTTCAGCAGGATTTGAATGAATACAGGGAAACAATTTGTGTGGAGCGCAAAAGAAGCAGCTGTGAGCTAATCCTAGATCCCATCAGCACTCATTTATTGACAACTGAGTTCTAAATGATGTTGATAATAAGGGAGCTGCATGCCATATACATTTTTAGAAAAAAAAGTCCTAGGCAATGGCAACACCTGAGAGCCAAAAGAGTTGGCCAAAAGACCAGATAAAGATATTAGTGACAAGTCAATGGAAGGGATAACAGTGAATTAAACCATTTTTTATTTAGATATGTTTAAATATTCAACCAGCATTGTACCATTGTAAGGCAAGATAGTAAAGATAAACAGGTCCCTTTTAACTCTTAGTGGTGCAGATCAGATCCATGTGGCCATGTGCACACAATTGCATGGACTACACTTGGATAGCAGCTGCTTTACAAACTGGGCCAACAAGATCTTGACTGCATCCCCACACGCTGCTATAAATAAACATGATGAAATGACATACTCACCTCCACTCTTAAACACACTCTGATTGGAAGGAGTAGAGCCACAAAGAGAGGATACTGAAGATGTTATTTATACTGAAGTGATTTCTCTAATGCACATCTTAAGGCTTTACTGAGGCACGATGCACTACATTTTATTAGTATTGGGGCTGGGTATTGTCAAGAACCTCACAATTTAATTACATTTTGATTCTTTGGGTCACAATTCAATGTTTATCAATATGGTTCAAAAACAGTTTGATAATCTGCATAGGTGACAGAAATACACAGATAATTCAATTCATTATACCTTCTGATATTTGTTAATAATAATAATAATAATAATAATAATGCATTATTGGTTTAGAAAATTGATTTCAGAATTTTCTGAATCGATATTGAATTGGGAAAAAATACATTGCAATTCACTGATTAACCTTTTTTTTTTTTTACTCCGCTCTAACATTTAAAGTTACATACATGAAATTGAGTAAAAGATAGAATAACAGGTACAAATATATTTGCTTACCTTGGGTTGGATAAATGGTGAATGTTGGTTAAGAAAAAAGCACGACATGGATAAACTGTAAATCTGCAAGGTTAGGTTTGACACATTGTATGAACCTGGATTTTCTTTTTTTAACATTTCTTTTTGGGCTTCTTGCTTTTAATGGACAGGTAGCTAGAGAGAGAGTAGGAAACTAAGGATAGAGTGGGGAAAGGCATGCAGGGAAGCCTGCTAACTGCTAACGGGCCGCCAGCTTTGAGGCTAGCCTCCAGGGCTAACTGGCCAGCTATGTCCCTCTGAAAACCTTTTTTGTTCTTGTTTAAATTGAAGTGTATTATCTTGCTGAGCAGTACTAGTGACAGTATTAAATGTTTTTTATATATTAAGGGGAAGTCGGGTGATGCTGACACAGGCCTTAAGAATAATAATGTTCAGTAATGTCACCATGCTCCTAAGTTTTTCTATTACAAAATATTAGAATTGATTCTCCCTTTCCTTAAGTAAAGATCATTAAAAGCAGTAAAACACAGAATGAAGAGGCTTGCTTTACAAAACGCTGTCTCTTTGGCAGACACATGAGGTCCTGGGGGGCTGTGAGCTGAGCTGCTATTTCCAAGTACGAAACATTTTAACCTAAATATAAAGTGTCAATTTGAATACAACTTAAAGCTTAAACTTAACTTAAAAAACAAAATATAAAAAGAGTAGATATAAGTGGACAGTGATCAGACTATCAGATGTAAACAGAACTATGTGCAGTAAACGAGAAATAAATATATATATACAGAACTATGTGCAAGTAGGCAAATATTAAAAGATAAGTTATAAGGTGCATGGTGAATAGTGGATCAACAGAACTAACAATATAACTATAAAGGTAAATATGAGATAAAGTGATCATTGTGCAATGATGAATAAGATACAACAGGAATAAAGTAACCAGAACTGTATGAATACTGATATAAAATGGATAGAATAAAGTGATGTAGTGCATGAGACCAGATAAAGCAGAGGCTGTTAAGGTGCATGGCAAAAGGAAGGAAGTAAATACAGCAAAGTTCACAGCTAAGAGTCTAATGCTGTGAGGGGGTGTAATCAAAGATACACTTCAACCACAAGGTAAAAGCGGCAGAGTTACCTGGTGGTGTTTCGTCTCTGCTTTATAGGGTTTTTGAACTTGTCTTATAAAGCATAAATCTTCAAAGTATATCACTGTCATTTATATCAGCGTTCCCCTATAAAGATCACTGTACTGTGAACCCTATAGTATGTATTTTAATACATTTAGTAAAGGCCCTAATGTTGCATAGAGAATGATTTGTAATGGGTTTTATTTTTCCGTAGTTTACACGCAAAACATTTTCTTATTTTTGAAGAACTAAGGAACGAAATCTGTGCAACATGGAAAATATGATCAAATGAGCAAAATCCATAAATGTCTTCTTGAGTTAAGCTGAGACTGTTTGAAAGATGTCTGCTAGTGCATAATGAGCATTATCACATGGCTGCTCACTTGGTAATAGACTGTAGACCTCTTTTTCTCTTGTGTTGTCTTTGCTCCATCTTTCTAGCTGATGTATGACCAATACCTTTAGCATTTTGGCAATGTGTTAGTCATCCTCCTAAGATTTGGTTGTCTGCAATGCAAATTGCCTGTTGTGGTTTGAGCCTTCTCCAACTGCAGGCGTGTTTATCCCAAAAACTAGAGAAACATGAGAGCATCAGAGTAAGCTGACAGGCGAAAGTGAGATTGAGGACATCATTATAGCCTTGAAGCCTCGGCCTTCATCTGAGTCTGACTACAAAAGTGACTCAAGTGTTGCACATCTAGGCCAACTGACAATTATGTACCACGATGGATGCTGTAAATTTCACCTTTTAACCAGCCATTGCCTCTTCACTGTATGTTAGCATTACAGTTGTAATGTAATTTGCAATTGTGTAGTCACAAAAGGTTTATTAGTGTTCTCTTTTTGTTTGTAGGACGAAGCATTTAGAGGATTTAGAACAGTTACTGAGCAGAAAAGAATACAGAGCCCTTCAACAACCTCTTCAGGTAAAGTGTCTTTAAAATGACTTTCCACTTTACTTTGGTCTTAAAGTCTTGAATTGTAAATATCTAAATCTTCCATGCTTACTAAAGGCCCTCTGTTTTGTTATCTGGTTTTATCCATAGGTCCACCACTGCAGGAGAAGAAACCCAGAGGCCGTCCCCCAAGAGCCTTCACGACCCAGAAAGCTGCTGCATGTCTACCTTCCCCTTCCTCCATTCCTTCCCCCACACAGGCCAAACCTGAGGGTCCTGAAAGGCCAGCTGAGAAGGTGAAAAGGCTGCCTGGGAGGCCACCTGGCACCAGAGAAAAGAGAAGAGGCCGACCCCCGTCCTCAAGTAGCAAAAAGACTTGGACTACAGGCAACCATGCAGCAGGGGAGAGTAGTAGACTGGCTGGGTCGGAGCTGGGCATGGACACAGAGGAGGACAATGACAGAAAGGGTGTCAAGAGGACGGCCCCAGGCTCTGCTCAGCCACACAACACTGATGCAAAGCTTCCCAAAGGTGGGCGGGGTGAATCCAAAGTTACCAACTTGAAAAGGCTAAGAGTGACTAAACTGGCCCCTCTCAAGTCACGGCTCAAGACATTGCCTGGTGTACCCCGCCGCAGACGTGGGCGACCTCCCTCAGCCGAACGTCTCAAAGCTGAGGCGGCAGCAGCTGCTGCTGCACAGCTCTCTTCCTCCATTGAATGTGGGGATGGGAAACATAAGGTCTATAGGGCCAGAGGGGGGGATAGAGGCACAGAACCACACACTCCCCAGCCCATGCTGAGGAATGTAGATGGTTCTGAGGACCAGGACTCTGCCAATCCACCTGCTTCCCCGTCCCCCTCCAAGTCTGGCAGAACAGTTGGCCTTCGAAAAAGCCCTCGCCATAGAAAGCCTGTCAGAATTGTCCCCTCATCCAAACATGCAACCATCGCTAAACAGTTGCTGCAGCGTGCAAAGAAAGGAGCGCAGAAGCGGTTGGAGAAGGAGGCTGAAGCCATTGTAGGGAGTGGGTCAGGAACTGTTGAGGCTGGCATCAGGAAGACCCAACTAAAGAACATTAGGCAGTTCATCATGCCAGTCGTAAGCACTGTCTCCCTTCGCATCATCAAAACCCCCAAACGCTTCATTGAAGACGAGGGCAGCTTTGGAACTCCTACACCCCATATGAAGATAGCACGGTTAGAACCAACCCCCTCCTCTGTGTCCACACCTACCCAACCCACATCCACCACCTCTTCTTCCCCTGCACCTGTGCTGGCCTCCTCTACACCCGCTGTTACTAACACTGGCACCACTGCTCCTGTAGACTCCCTCCCCCCTCCTCCACCTCCTGCCCCAACTCCCAGTGCTCCATCAACAGCTGCCAATCTGCTCAACAGCAGCACAAACAATGCTAACGCCAATGGGCGATTTAGCAGCAGCGCAGCATCTTGTGGCTCAAGCGCTGTGTCCCAGCACTCCTCCCAGCTCTCCTCTGCAGAGTCTTCCAGGTCCAGCAGCCCCAGCTTGGATGACTCATCATGCGACTCCCAGGCTTCAGAGGCCACACAGGCTTTGTCAGAGCCTGAGGATCACTCTCCATCCTCACAGGGAGAGAGGGAAGCCAACCTGTTACACAGCTCACGGCCTCCTACGCCTCCTTCTGAGCCAGAGCAAGAGCATGTGTTGGCAGAATTGAGTTCGCGTGGCCGCAGAGGACAGGGTGTCGGCCGGGGAAACCAGAGGGTTAGAGAAAGCGCAGGGGCTAAGAAGCCGATCATTAGCCCGCCAACAGGAGTGCTGTTGTCCTCCTCTGCTCTTGTAAATTCCCAGCAAGCTTCATCGACAGCCTCCTCCTCTTCTTCACCTCCACCTCCACCGCTCCTCTCCCCTCCACAGCCTCTACAGTCAGCTTCCTCCAACGCAGCTGCCATCAGTGAACACCACGCTCAGTCACCCTGGATGTCTCATCAGTTTCTCGCTGGACCTTCAGTTCTATCCAGCTTGTCAGACAAACGAAGCCGCTCGATTCTGAGAGAGCCAACTTTTCGCTGGACGTCCCTGTCCCACCCTGGACATCAGTACTTTTCCTCAGCTAAATACGCCAAGGAGGGCCTAATTCGCAAGCCAATATTTGACAACTTCCGTCCTCCCCCTCTCACTGCAGAGGATGTGGGGCTGATGCCACAAGGTGTAGGTGGAGCAGGGGGAGCTTCTCCAGTTTCCTTCCCAGCACCAGGCGGTGGAGCAGGGACAGGAACTCGTCTTTTTTCCCCTCTTCACAGTCACACCCATCACCAACATCCCTCTTCATCCCGCTTTGACGCCACACTCCAGAAGCGCAGCCCCTTGCTCCGTGCTCCCCGATTTACACCCAGCGAGGCCCACTCTCGGATATTCGAGTCTGTTACGCTGCATTCATCTTCTGGAAGCAGCCCTGGCTCTCTCTCCCCACACCAGACTTCCTCTAGCTCCAGCAGAGCGCTGCGGCGCAGGAGAAGACTGGCTTCCGTAACATTACGTGGCAATCCACGGTCTCCTTCCCACTCAATGACCAGACGCAGCAGCCAAATAGGAGGTCAGATATCCATAAGGAAAGGGTCCTCTGAGATGTCTGTGCTGACAGGCTCTGTCTCCAATAGTAACTCCAGCTCTTTGCCAGGGGTTTCTGCAAGTCCACTAGCCACTAGTGCCTTAACTCCTGCCTCTTTCAGCACCTTCTCCACTGTTTCCCGGGCTCTGTCCTCACAAGGGACAGCTGAGAGCAGGAGGGGGGCGTCTGGAAACCCTCCTCCTTTGTCAACTACATCCTCCTCTTCCTCCCCACTTTTCCCCCTCTTTCCTTCCAGTGCACAGGACACAGGGCGAGGAGCTGGGAAAGGAGGTAAGGATAAATGCCTGTCAGCTACCCAGGAATCTGCACCGAAAGAAAAAGAAAGGGATTCTGAGAAAAACAGAGAGAAAGAGAAGGAGAATAAGAGGGAGGGGAGAAAGGAGTTGGAGAAAAGAAGCAAAGTTTCTACACCTGATGGCTCCCCAAATGCACCTTCTGGACTGTTTTCTGTGGATGGGAGGGACTCAGAAGATATTCTTATAACTCCTGCTCCAAAAAAGACTCCAGGTAGAAAAAAATCCACATCCGTTGACACGGTCTCAGATACCGTGTCCTCAGAGTTGCGCGGAATCCATTCCACTGTTCCCCTTTCCATTGCTAAAGGGCGTTTAGCTAAGAAGGGTAGACCCTCAGAGAAAGGAGTAGAGGTGGAGGATGGGGAAAAGGAGAAGGAGAAGCAAAGTGCTCCTAGCCAGCAGACAGCAAGCCTTCCAGGGCAGCCAGGCAGACAACAGCTCCCTGTCGCCTCTCTTGGACCAGTGTTGGAGCATGCAGAGAAGCAGCCTGTGACAGACAAGCGGGTAGTTGGACTCTTAAAGAAGGCCAAAGCACAGCTCTTCGAGATCAAGAAGAGTAAGCTAAAGCCTGCAGACCAGACCAAGGTTCAGGTCAGTTTTCTGTTCAGATCTTACTCTCAAAGTTATGACAAAAGCATACCTGTTACTTTTTTTTTTTTATGTAACCACTAGCAATGTCAACATTATAATTATTTAGATGCCTTTTCAGTTTACCTACTTAAAGCCATGACATCTCTGTTTAATTTACAATTTGTAGCTTACAAAGTATAGAATCTATTTAAAAGATAAGAAATTCACAATTAGATTTTAATTCAAAGCTGCATCTCCAGCATGTGAGATCAGTCATGGAAGAGTGACCTTGAGTGTGAGAGATAGGAGTGTTTAAAAATAATCAAACTGTATTTCCTAAATGCACAACTGAGCTCACCCACTACTCTGCAGAACCTGCAGGAAGGTACCAGATTCGTTATGAATGCAAACTAAGGTCCACCTGCATGCATCCCTGTACTAAAGTATTGAGGTTTAAAATCACTGGTATCATGACAACCATGGTAGCCAGTGGTAAACGACTTTGACATGATGCTATGAATATTTGCTGAATCTGTGTTTGTTCTCAATGTGAAACTTTATAACGGGAAAGTCCCATACAGAGGGTTACTCGAGGGGATTTCTGTTAGCCTCATACATTATGCAGAAAGCAGCACTGGCTGTGCTTTTCAAAGTGTTGTGTTTTGAACAGATGAGCTCCTCTGTTCTTCTGCTCTTAATCTAAAGATTAGATGTTGAAAGGCGCTCATTGAACAGTTCCAAGAAAAAAAAAAAAAAACTCTGTCTCAGTTGAACTCATCGTAGCATCAGCCACCTAATTAAGCCACTTCATTTACATGTTCCCTTATTATCCTTTCTGTCCTTCTGGGTCAGCGACCAGAAGTTTTTGTGAAAGATGCACAACATAAAATACACCTTCCTAAAAATATAACAAAATGTTGGCTCCTTTTTTTGTGATGAATATGATTGTCTTCAAATTCTGTATCTTTCTTTATGTTTAATACTGAGCAGGGTCAAGAGAGTGACTCGTCGGAGACCTCAGTCCGCGGTCCACGCATCAAGCATGTATGTCGTCGTGCAGCTGTGGCTCTTGGTCGTAACCGGGCTGTGTTCCCTGACGACATGCCCACACTTAGTGCCTTGCCTTGGGAGGAGAGAGAGAAGATCCTATCTTCCATGGGGAATGATGGTGAGAACTTATTTCACAAGACCTGGGTAAAGGTCTGTAAAGCTGTAAAGGTTTCTCAACAAGCACATGTGAAAATGAATAATTAATCACAGGCCAGGCATTAATACATTTTAAAAGTGTTGCCAGATAGCCTAGCTTAGGGGTAATTCAGACAAACATGATCTTGTCTTTTAACTTTACAATTTAGCTGATTGCAAAACAGGAAATATCAAAACCATAAAGACATCCTGATTCCGAGCGGGGACTTGGTTCGCACAGCTTGAATTATATGTAATGGAAGGTTAATGTCTTTACCAAATTCAACGTAAAGAACTGTGATTGACTTGCAGAATAGTCTGGGTTGATTGCGTGATGTTTACAACACACAATCTGTGCAAGCCCAGGAAGGGTTCTGCAGGATGCAGTAATGACAGACTAATCACAAGAGCAGAGAAATCCAGTCATCAAGGAGTGCACAAGGACACAGTGTAGTGATGAAGGATAAAGCAGAGTTTGGCTTCCCCATTCCTGTTATGTTAGCTGCTATATGACATGTCAGGATGTGGGAGTTATCCAATATCTTCTTTATTGTCAAATAAAATAATGATAAACTGTACTTATTCTTATTTACTATTTATGATGAAATCTATTTATGTTCTATCTCTTCTTCCAGACAAGTCATCAGTAGCAGGCTCCGAGGAGGCAGAGCCTCAGTCCCCTCCTTTAAAGCCACGCGAGACACGGCAAAAGGCTGTTCAAGAAGCTCCTCCCAAGAAGGGTCGTCGGTCGCGTCGCTGTGGTCAGTGCTCAGGATGCCAAGTTCCAGAAGACTGTGGGGTCTGCACCAACTGTCTCGACAAGCCTAAATTTGGAGGGCGAAACATTAAAAAGCAATGCTGCAAGTGAGTATTAGTTGATGAGCTGGTGGTCTCAACAGATTATTGATTATAGCATTTATAAGAACATTAATTTGAATGGAAGAAATTCAAGCTTTGATTGTGACTGTTTCTTACTTTCTTACAGGATGAGAAAGTGTCAGAATTTGCAGTGGATGCCCTCAAAGATGTTTCTTCAAAAGCAGGGAAAAGGCAAGAAAGACAAGAAAAAGAACAAGCTGTCTGAGAAGAAAGAGGGTCTCAATTTGGTCAAAGGACCGACCTCAGAGTCTGGACCTAAATCCTTGCCTGCACCACCAAAGGAGGAGCCTCTCCGCAAAAAGAGCGACACACCGCCACTCAAGTTGCCAGAGGATAAGTCAAGACAGCCACAGCCTTCGTCAAAGCAGTCATCCCAACCCTCGCGTCCTCCCCTGCCCCACTTGAACCCCCTCAGACCCCCAACACAGTCACAGCACCGACCCCGTCTCCAGTCCCGACACCAGACACCAAACAGCCCTCCGTCACAGGCAGTGTCACCAGCAAGAAGGGACACAAAGTACAGCCCTCTGTACCAACATCCTCCTCCTCCTCCTCCTCCTCATCCTCTTCTTCCTCATCCACTTCTTCATCGTCCTCATCCTCTTCATCTTCCTCCCCCTCGTCTTCAGCACAGAATTCCCCATCCCAGTCTACGCAATCTCATCATCAACCGTCACAGCAGCAGCAGCAGCAGCAGCAGCAGCAACGGCCTCTTACGAGTCAGGCACCTTCCAAAAAAGACGCATCACCCAAGATTCCCCTGTGCGAACCCAAGAAGAAGCCCCAGCAGCACTCAGTGCAACAGCAAAGCTCAACTCCTACCACTTCAGACACGGGTGAGAATAACTTTTCTTAAAGTTATAATACACTTATGACAACAAGAATGATAAATGAAATGCTAAGATAGGATTGTAGTGCTTCACAAAACAGTATTAGAAACATTTAAATAGTTTTTACAAGAATACAAAGTCACTTTCTGTTCTAAAAAAAGGTTTTCCTATCATTAAGACAAACAGGTAAGAAGCAACCTCACCACATTTCATGTTGGACTCTTCAGGGTGTTATCAAAAGAATTATCATCAGCTGTGTTGGTTAATGAAATGAAGACTAGTCAGGGATATATGAATTCCCTCATTAATGCTCATTTTAAGGACTTTTTCAACAGGACAGAGGTAGCCAGTGTGTTGACGGAAGCATGGGTGCTATGTGTTTATTTTGTATTGGTGAAATTGGTCTAAATTAACTGTAATATTTTATAAGACTTGTTAGGAGTGCCGTAGATAGAGATTTGTCTTAATGTAAGCAGTCTGTTAATAAGAAATATGTCAGCATTTTGTCTCACAATGTTCTTAAGCAAGGGAAATCATGTTTTTTTTTGTTCAAGCTTGTTATGAGAATGGCAAGCAACAAAGACCTCAGTATGAAAATGAAATGTATGATTAAATGCTCTGGGACAAACTGGCACACGTTTGCTCTTGTCTTTGCTTTTGTAGCTACAAGTGAGCTACTTCTGAAGAAGTGCAAGTGTCCAGAAGAAAGTAGATTGTGTATTATCTGCATAACAGTATATTTGACATTGTGATGTTGTCCAGAGGGAGCATGAATTTAAAAAAAAACCCAACGTAATTCCTGTTTAAATGGTAGATCCTTTCCCTTTTTGTTTTTCGCAGCTGAATCAAAACAGTTGAAGAAGCCCGCTTCTCGCTCTGTTCCCCCATCTCCCAAACTGAGAGCAAAAGATAAGGTAAGAAGAAGTCCCTGTGAGACTCTTTCCAGAAGCTTTGATTGTTTAATCCTCATGATTAAATGGGATGTTTTTAATTTCTAAAACTTTCCGTCCTCTGTCGCCCTCCCTGTGTCAGCAGCCACTGACCACTAAACCTCTCAGCAGTAGTACTTTAAACTGGCTGAGCACTCCCTCGACTAGGGGCCAGACCATGTCCAGAGCGCCCTGCGACGGAGTGCATCGTATCAGAGTGGATTTCAAGAGGGACCATGATGTGGAGAAGGTGTGGGAGGCTGGCGGCCTCAGCCTGCTCACCTCTGTGCCTGTCACACCAAGGGTGCTCTGCTTCTTATGCGCAAGCAGTGGAAATGTCGAGGTACAGAAAAGAACAAAAGGTTTAAAGGGGCGTTTAGACTGAAATTCAAAAACAAGTTGACAGTATCCATCCTCTCCTCTTTCTGTCTGCCTGTAGTTCGTCTTCTGCCAGGTGTGCTGTGAACCCTTCCATCTTTTTTGCCTTGGGGAGTCAGAGCGCCCTCTCCAGGAGCAATTTGAGAACTGGTGTTGTAGAAGATGCAGATTCTGCCAGGCCTGTGGACGCCAGCATCAGAAAACTAAAGTACGTCATTCAGTCATTTAAAAGCTGTCCGCAGAAGAAGCTTAGCATAAATGACAGTGTGTTAATACTGGAGAATCTTCCTTTGAAAGACTGTCACTGTTATGCCTTTAAGCTTAACTATTAAGCACTTCATCAGCTTCTTGGATTCCTCCCATGATTTAATCATTAAACTCAAGTCGTGTTTATCTGAATGGTGTGACGATTGAATGGTTGTCAAGGATTACTCACAAACAATTATATTTTTAAAACAAGTCAAACATCTGTCGGATTGTTTTGTCTCGTTGGCACATGACGTTTTGCGTGTTGTCTTTATTTGTAAGTAAAAATCAGACAGACTTTGATCTAGAAACAAATCTTTTCGCAAAACCACAAAGTCCTGTATTTCATTTTACTGGCCTTTATCTTTGACTAAAGAACTTCCTCAACAGCAGCAGGTCTCTGGGACTCTGGGACTCTGGGATTCAGATTCTGGCCTTGAAAGCCTGAAATATGAGGTTCTAGTGAGGCTACTGAAATTTTAAGCTGCAGCTGATAGATCACATGTTGCACGATCTGAAATCCTCCTTCAAGATGCCTTGTGGTGTTCTCTAGTAAAGCAACAACATTTTTGTCACACTTAGTTTCATTGCTAAAAATATCCTCCCCTATTCTGTGTCCTCAAAGTTTGTCAAAGTATTTATTCTTATATATGCAGGAAGAAAATCATTTAGATTCATAAACAATTGTTCATATGTGTTCGTCCAAATCTGGCAGCAGTACAGTTAACAAAGTTTCTGACAATGAGCAGCTATACATACAAATGACATGAAATAAGAAAATATTTTCAGGATCAACCACATTCATTAATATATCAGGCATATCTGCAGCCACATGTGCTTGCCTACAAGTCATATTAAAGGCCCTAAAAGCATCCAGGAAAAGCAGCTCATTAAGTTGCGTGCGTGCGTGCGTTAAACAACTCCAGCAATTACCACTAAGGTTGCTCCAGAGAGCATTAGAGCAATGCTTGGAAGGTTTTGTAGAGCTACAAACCCTTCCAAGAACTGCTCTGAAAGACTCCCTGCATCTTTATGTTTCTCATACTAATGTTCCTACATACATGAGGCCCTCTATGACAAATGTTGTCTTACTTGTTGTAGACAGAACTGAGTTGATTGTTCGGCATGATCTTTGATTATTATTTATTTTATTTTTTTACCCTAATTAGATATTTAAATCACCTTCCTTTTATTTTCTATACTAACATCACTTCTGGCCTTTGTTACTGTAGCAGCAGCTGCTAGAGTGTGATAAGTGCCGAAACAGCTATCACCCGGAGTGCCTGGGTCCCAACCACCCCACCAGACCCACCAAGAAGAAGAGAGTCTGGGTACGGACACACGCTGCTCTATTTCTCTCCTTTATGTTACTCTCACAGTTTCACCTGTGTCTGACCAAATGTTAGCATTAGCCACTTCTTGTTTTTCTCTCCCTGTCTTCAAACATCTTTCCTGCTTCTCACCTTTTGGTAACTTGTTTCTGTAACTTGTTTCTGTGTTATTTTTTCCAGGTTTGCACCAAGTGTGTGCGCTGTAAGAGTTGCGGAGCCACTAAACCTGGGAAGTCCTTAGATGCCCAGTGGTCACATGACTTCTCTATGTGTCATGACTGTGCCAAACTGTTTGCAAAAGGTGAGTGAGGAGCTCAGGTATTCTTTATAGTACTAAAGAAGTAGAACTTCTGAAGATATTGACCTGTTTTTTTTCTTTGTTTGTTTTTTAGAATTAGGACAGCATCTGTACTCTATGCAATATTTATAACATGAAACGTATGTGTTGCCATACTCTCTCTCAGGAAACTTCTGCCCATTATGCGATAAGTGCTATGATGATGATGACTACGACAGCAAGATGATGGAGTGTGGCCATTGCAACCACTGGGTTCACGCTAAGTGTGAGAATCTGACCGGTAAGTAGGCCTGGAAAAAAGCCAGGTAGAAGGTCATTTTCAGTACATGTTAACTGTAAGTTCTTCTTAAGTAGAGCGCTGTATACAGAATTATCAGCACACGTTATACTCAATCTGTGTTGTCAGCGTCTGTGATGCCGACTGACAGGCTATCCTGTACACACTGTCATGTTGATGAGAGGCAGAAAGACCTAAATAATGGGAGCAATAATGACCTGTCATCTCCCGCCTGTCACCCAGATGAAATGTACGAGCTGCTATCAAAGCTGCCAGAGAGCGTTGCCTACACATGTACCAAATGTACCAACCGCCATCCGGCCGAGTGGAGGACAGCGCTGGAGAGGGAGCTTCAGGGCTGCGTTCGCCATGTTCTCACTGCACTGCTCAACTCGCGCACATCGTCACACCTACTACGCTATAGACAGGTTTGATACAAAGATGATGCTTCTTCCATTGTTTCCATTTCACTTGTCATTCATTCTTCCAGTATTTATAGACTCTACCTTAATGTGGAAGTGCAGTCATGGACACAAATGATACAGTATGGTTGCTCAGACATATTATACGTTTCAAAGCTAAACCTGGGGTGTGACTCTCTTAACTTCGGTGCAGGCGGTGAAGCCTCCAGAGCTGAACCCCGAGACTGAGGAGAGTCTACCATCCCGTCGTTCCCCGGAGGGCCCAGATCCTCCAGTCCTGACAGAAGTCACTCCCACACCCCCCAGCGACTCCCCTCCAGACCTGGAGTCGGTTGAGAAAAAGATGGATCATGGCCGTTACAATTCAGTGGTAAGTGTGTTATCTTTGGAGTAGCAAAGACCTGGTGCAGTGTTATACTGTAAGCAGTTTGTTTATTAAAGCAGTTAATGTGTGTTTTATTTAATGTACATTTATTAAGGTTTAGAAGAGGACTGGTGTGATTTATCCATCATTACCATGTGTCAACATTTTATTAACATGAGGAGGTATTTACCTTTTCATGATTTGTTGCATAGCGGTACAATAAGGGGTTAACTTGGAGACTATCATTAACCCTTGCAAGGCAGTCTATCTTGAATCTGCAGTTATTCCATTACCATAATGGTACATTTAAAGAGACAGCTACTGTGATGATGTATTGTAATGTTTATTTTGTTCATTAGCACTTCATTTTATTTATAACTAATTTTTTAACGTGTTTGTCTCATTTCGTTCGTCCCTCAGCTGGAGTTCAGCGATGATATCGTGCGGATTATTCAGACGGCCATCAACAGTGACGGGGGCCAACTTGAGAGCAGGAAAGCAAACAGCATGGTCAAGTCCTTCTTCATCCGGGTAAGAACTTCTAAGCGGCTCTGGATCTGATGGACCATATCAGTCCTCTCAGCAACACTGAAAATACAGCAATTCCATGTGCCAGCCTCAAACTTTTAAGGCTTTATTCTTTTTTTTTAAACATAGATAAATGTTGTTGTTGAGTTTAGACCAGCTTGTTTGCTGGTATTGATCTTGTTTTTGGGGAAAGATTCTTTCAGTTTTCAAAATCGAAGAGGTTTTAACCAACAGCAGCATCATCAACAGAAAGAAAAAACAGTAAGACAACGAATGAAGCAGTTTAAGTCTAGATGACCTTAAACTGACAAGGGAAAGGTTGAAAACTAAGTGATTGCACATTAGCTTACTTTAGCTCTCTGATAACTTAATGTGTGGCACAGTGACACTGTTTATTTGGAGCTCTGAAACCAAGAGAAAAACACTGTTGATATCCGATGATGACAAAAATCCTTCATCCGATATTAAGATACGTATGAAACATTAAACTTTGAGAATTTTCCAGACTGGTGACGATTTAATGCCAATCCATTCTCCAACAGTTCACACTCAAGAAAATCTAAAAATCTAAAAAATAAATTAAAAAAAGCATTGAATTTTGGGACGGTACCTCTTTTGTTTGTTGTGATTTTTAACTGACACCATGTTTTAATGACTGTTTGAATCTGTGCTTTCTCACTAGGATAGAAACCATGTAATTGATGTTAGATGATTTGTAAACAATTAACTCAACTATTGAGGAAAAACTCCATTCAGCAAAAGCTCAAAATCTCTGATGAGCTTCTGTATCTTTAACCACCATTTCTCCCCTAATGAGGGTCTGTATGAGTCTTTTAGTCAACGATTCACTAATGTCATTGAATGTTTTCTGTTTCAGCAAATGGACCGCATCTTCCCATGGTTCAAAGTGAAAGAGTCAAGTTTCTGGGAAAGGCAAAACGTCTCTGCAAAGTGAGTGTCTGTGACCATACATGTAACTGCTCAGTGTATGTGTTAGCCTAAACTTCTCTGATGAACGTATTCCAGTGAAGTAAGCAATCGTTTAACTCATTCCAGTAGTTTCAAGATGAGTAAGCAGTTATCTTGGTCTTAATATTACTCAGAAGTGTGTCGTGTGGAGTCATTTTCTAAACTTGCAGTATGAGTTGTGTTTTGAATTACAGAGAAGATAAGTCAAATTTCATAATCCTGTAACATGAACGGGGCCGTAGAAAGTTCATGAAGTTTTAGGGAAAACTCAGAGTCTCTAATTATACATCGACAGTAGAGTAAGATGTGGCTTGTCTGGGATACGTTGTACCATCATCTGAGGGGAAGAGCAAGCAGTGAAATAATATTTATAAAATGTGTGTGCTGATTAACCTAAAAACCTCTGAGTAAAAGTAGTAGAAAGAAATAACAGCCTCTTTTCAGTCCTTTTATCTTCTTGTGTGGTTAATATGTTAGATGTTCTTATTTGGGAATCATAACTCAACCACTTTTTCTACTATGACTTTTGTGATCAAACAAGGCTTCTCTAATAAATGAGAAAATCTGTGAGAAAATCGAGGACGGTTTTAACTGTTCATATGCCTTCACTCACTAGAATACACTTCGTTAAAGTCAGTTGAGCGGTTTTGATGTGAATATTATTAAACTTTTTTTTACAGTCTCCCTGGTGAAATGAGGCAACTACTTAGTAAAGATCTGAGGCCCAAACACTCGGAACATCATTAGCCCTTTTCTATTAAGCTCAGCCGTCATCACGTCTTTGTACATTCATATTGATTACGCGACATCGCAATATTGGTGTCCCAGTCTGTGAATTCGCATTGCGTTTTCGGCGATGCAGAAGCACGGCACAGCGCGAGCTCGACATAGACACACAGTCAGTCATGCACAAACACACAGCGCTGCGCTCCCCCAGCTGGCTCGGCTGAAAACGTCCTGCTTGTGCAACGCCTCTGTTACTGCCTTCTAAAACGGTACAAAACGTAAATATCGCAGCTTGAAACAGCAGTCTGAGTAGGGCTATTGACAGGTGGTCTAGATATCCACTAAGTAGTTCATTTTGTCAAAGTGTGTCAGAAGTTATCTGAAACATATTTCTGGGGCGACAGCTGCACATTATTTTGCATTAATGCAAAATAATCAAACGATCATGTTGAGTAATCAATGCTGATAAGCAGACACAAAGAGTCTATCATTATATTATAAGAAGAATTCTTTGCTCAGGATTATTTTACGTACTTTGTTATTGAACCTTATTAGATACCTGATGAGCATAAAGGTTCTTTTTCCGACTCACACTTTTTTTTGTCTCTCTTAGTGACTTGTTCCTTCATATTTACTCTCAGCGTTCCCATACTGTTTAGTCTTAGTCTGCTTTTTCTCTCGGCATTATGGGAGGCAAACGGTAACAGTGTCACATTTCACATGAAGACTCTTCAATACATAATTGTGGTCTAATTGTGGTTTGCTTGTCAGACTGCTCTGTTGCGTTATGTATCAGTGCTCCAGTACAAACAACCGATGATCCATCCTGATGATGGTGTGGTCATCGTTGGCTGGATGCCTGTTACGATGTCTCATTCAGCTTGTCTTCAATTGGAAAAACCTATTCTGGCAAAGCTTCTGGACTTGATGGTTTATTATTGACGTCACTGCTCACTTATTACACATAGATGTTTTTGTGTTGAATGGATTAACACCCTTTTGTTTGATAATCACAACTGTCTTTGAACTTTCTCTGTTTGGAAAGAAACACGCCCAGTGCATGTGTGTGCTGTAAAAACAAACACAACCACGCAGACTACACCCTGAATTGTCTTCTTGGGCGCTTTTTTATGTCATGCAGTCTCACTAAAGTTCTAAAATCGAATCAAGACTTGTGTTTTGATTTTAAAGATTTTGTCGTTAACATTAGGGCATTTTGAAATCATGCAATGACAACTTAAAATTTTATCCAATCGTTCTCTGTTCTAATATTTTTGCCCCTCTGTTGTTTCCCAGTAGTGGGCTCCTCCCAAATGCTGTGTTGCCTCCGTCCCTAGACCACAACTACGCCCAGTGGCAGGAGACACTGGAGCTCTCTCGTGCAGAGCTACCCCACCTCATGAAAAAGATCATCCCAGCTCCTCAACCCAAGACCCCAGGTGAACCGGATTCTCCAGCCTCCCCTCCTCCGCTCCCTCCATCTCTGCCCCCACCGCCTCCGCTCCTACCTGGTAAGGAAGTCTGTAAATATGTGTACACGTGCGCACAGTCTCTACACATCTTGTCACTGTCTTCTCATAAAATAACGTTTATTTCCCCCAATGCCTTTTCTTCAGATCGGGAAGACAGCCCTGAGCTCCCTCCCCCACCAGGCATCAGTGATAACAGGCAATGTGTTCTGTGTCTAAAGTATGGAGACGAGAACACTAATGTGAGTCAGAAACCACTAAGCTTCTCTTGAACACATATGAAAAAAGTCTCAGTATTGTGCGTAACATGGCTGTGTGTTTCAGGAGGGAGGCAGGCTGCTGTACATTGGTCAGAACGAGTGGACACATGTGAACTGTGCCCTGTGGTCTGCCGAGGTGTTTGAGGACGACGATGGCTCTCTCAAGAATGTTCACATGGCTGTTCTCAGGGGAAAACAGCTGGTGAGACACTTAACTTTGTCCCATCACATGGTCCCACTTTATTTGCAATGTCTATTCTTCAGAGAGACTTTAACAAAGTGTCGTTCTTTGTATTCAGAGCTGTGAGAAGTGTCAGAAGCCAGGGGCCACAGTTGGCTGCTGCCTCACCTCTTGCACCAGCAACTACCACTTCATGTGCGCCCGCCAGTGTCACTGCGTCTTCCTTGAGGACAAGAAAGTCTACTGTCCAAAGCACCGAGACCTCATCAAGGGAGAAGTGAGACAAATCTGTTTTTACTGCTAGGACGTTTTGACAGCAGCCTCAAAATATTTAGTGTAAAAGCTTAGAAAAGTTGTTCATGGGTTAATATCTCTTGTTTAGATAAACAATGCTAGGAACTAGATTTTTGTCCTCATCTTTCCTTGTTTGTGCATTTTTCTTTAGGTGGTGTCTGGGTTTGAGGTCACCCGCAGGATCCTGGTGGATCTAGAGGGCATTAGTCTCAGGAGGAAGTGGCTGGCAGGCCTGGAGCCTGAAAATGTCCACATGATGATAGGTAGGTCGGTTATTGGCTAACATTCAATGATAAACATTCCTTACCTTGCCTTAGTGTGTGTGTCTTCTGAACGTTGACTGAAAAATAATCATTGCAGGCTCCATGACCATTGATTGTTTGGGGATACTGACTGAACTCTCAGACTGCAAAAGCAAACTCTTCCCTGTAGGGTACCAGTAAGTTCAATTTTTAATTCATACTTGCTATTTTAAGTGCCTTTATCTTTTTTTTCTCCACCCCATCTGAGTAGATCTATCTGCTGGAGGAAATGAAGATGTCAATTTAATTAAGTTAACCTTAATGAATTTTCCTCTCTCCAGATGTTCGAGGGTGTACTGGAGTACTTTAGACGCTCGAAAGCGCTGTGTGTATACCTGTAGGATCCTAGTTTGTCACCCTCCAGTGGTAGAGTCTGACCTAAAGAACATGATGGCTCCTGAGGAGAATCGCACTATAGCACACAGTCCTCCCATAGCAGGTAACTTTGGTGACTTTATATATTCAAGCTTTTAATTTGACAGTGCATGATTTATCTTGAGTTCTTGGATGTTCTAAACTAAACTGTGTCATTTAAAAAAAGTCCGCCTTTTTTATGTTTTAGACTTTCCTGATCCATTTGAATCCCCGAGACGATCTGAAACACTTTCACCTTCCAATACTCCCAAGCTCAGGGTTTACACCAGGAACAGACACCCAAGCTACCCCCCCTGTCAGCGCTCACTAGGCCCCAGGCCCATGCCCTCACCAGGTACAATTATCTATTCCTTATTATGATATTAAAAACTTTTAAAGAATGTTGCTTTGGAACTGATAATTCAGACATTTTGTGTTCCAAGCTTGTCTTTGGGAAGTCTTTATTTAAATGTGTTGTCCTTTTTTTTTTTTTTGTAGGAGGTAACTCTCAGCCCCAAAGCCATGAGATTGTCACTGTAGGAGACTCCCTGGTGAACTCCACCATGCGCAACATTGACTCATGTCGCCACAGCTCCATTTCTCTCTCTCTGACTTCACACCAGCTGAACAGACAAAGAGGGGCAACCTCCCTCCTCCAGATTTCATCACGTCCGCTTACCTCACCCCCGCCCCTCATCCCCTCTCCTGCCAGAGACCCTGAAAGGTCCAAACACCTCAGCAAAGACTCTGCGAAGAGTCCAGTCCAGAAAGAGGAAGAAAGAGGCAGACCATTCTCCACTGACAGAAACAGATCACAACCATCCAGGGACCAGGGGCCGAGAGATGCAGACAAGGGAAGGGTGTTGGGTCAGGACCAAGCCTCCAAGGTTTCTGACAAGTATAAATCTTCCAGGGAACTTGGGCAGAAAGACTCTGACAAAGACATAATACCAACCAAAGAGCAAGAGAAGAGGAAACTGTCTAGTAAAGACTCAGGTCAGAAAGAATCTGTACGAGGAAGATCTGTCAGTAGAGATCTTTTGAAGGATTCCGAAAGGGGGAGACAAGCAAACAGAGACTCTGAGAAGTGGAGACAGGCGAGCAGAGAGTCAAGTAATCGAGACACGGACAAGAACAAGTCAACGTCCAAGGATTTTGAAAAATCTCGATCTCTCAGTCGAGACACAAGTCTGAGGGAGTCTGAGAAGCATAAACAATATAGCAGGGAAGCAGGAAAAGACTCAGGTCAAAGTAAAGACAGACTGTCCAGCAGAGACTCTGACAAGAGTAAACCTTCCTCTAGAGATTCCAGTTATAGAAGCACAGAGAAAAACAAAGACTCTGGCTCAGGGAAAGATAACAACCCTGGCAGCCAGTCCAAACAGGCTGGAGGTGAGAGTAAATCCATCAGACTGGCACCTGCAGGATCAGGTCAGTCCTCCCCTCCTGTGGGCACTGCTGTTCTCACAGCTCAGCAGAGAGGTGGAAGCACCAAGCAGGCAGACAAGCAAGGGAAACACGGAGGCAAAGACCAGGGTGTTCCGCAGTCTCGCTACAGGTCCACCCCCACATCTAACATAATTCAGTCTAAGGACAAGCCCAGCTCAGGGAAGGAGAGTAGTAGTGTCACTGGAAATATGTCAGCTTCACTCCATAAGGACTCTGTGGTTGGGAAATCCGTCTCCCCACACTCATCATTTCAGAAGTCAAATGCAGGTAAATCAGTTGATTACTCGTCAGGTGCAGCTACAGCAGCAACCATGAAGCCTGTGTGGCCGTCAAGGACACCCGCAGAAGATGATGTTGCCAGGCAAGGCTCCTTGCACTTTTCCTCCCAAGCTGCAGCCTCAGCTGCCAAAGACAAACACCCCAAAGCAAAGATGGCAGGCAGCAAAGAGGTGTCCAAAGACCGCGACAGAGATAGGAGTCTCCAGAACAGCAACAGTTCCTACAAAATCCCTCTTCTTAATAATAACACAAAAGCTTCCGGCAGCTCCAACATGTACGCTCCAAACCCCAACTCACACAACAGCAGCAACAGCAAAGCTCCGGTGCTCGGCAACAGCACCAAAGGCCACGGGAAGGCTCAGGGGGAGAAGCAGGAGAACCAGGTAGGAGACAGGTCATCCTTTAAGAGCAGAGAAAACTACTCCTGTCCTGAGAGGAAGAACAGCTCGAGTCTGGACAACTCACAGCAGCTGCAGCAGGGCGGTCTTTCAAAAGAGAAAGAAGCAAAGACCACCTCCCTTTCTCACACCAATCCAACAAGTAACCAGCTCCCTAAAGAGAAAAAGAGATCAGGTAAACCTCCTGCTGTAACTTCACTTAAGACTGATATCAAGACTGACCCTAATGGGACCAGCACTGTTGGTGGTATTTCTTCCTCCTGCCCCACCACCACAACCACGATATCCACTGTCTCTCCTGCTGGCCAGGGGACCTGTCGCTCTACCTGCTCCACTCTCTTTTCCTCACCCTCCGCCAGCAGCAGCGACAGCTCTGAATCCGACACTCAGACTCACACAGAGGAAGATGATTTGCACAAAGAGCGCTCACCCAGTGAGCTCCGAGATCGCCACAGCCTTCCTGCTCAAGGCACAGAGGACGAGGGGGATGGCCCAGATGACGACCACGGCAGAGGAATGGACGTTAAAAGCCATGAAGACGACAGTGACGGTTCAGGCTCCACCAAGCGGCGTTACCCTCGACGCAGTGCCCGCGCACGCTCCAACATGTTTTTTGGCTTAACGCCTTTGTATGCTGTTCGCTCGTACGGTGAGGAGGACCTACCCTTCTACAGCAGCGGCGATGCAGCTGGAGCAGTGGTTAAGAGGAGGACTGGTGGTCGGAAGAAGTCGGCTGAGGGGCAGGTGGATGGAGCGGATGATATGAGCACCTCCTCTTCTTCAGTTGACAGTGGAGAGGAAGAAGACAGTGGAATGAAACAACGAGGTAAAGACCCTTACTACTACAACTTCACCCGAACAATAATTAACCCTGGCGAGGGTCTACCCTCTATAGAAGGGATAGACCAGTGTCTAGGAAGAGGTTCCCAGCTTCAGCGCTTCCTAAAAGACGAGGAGCAACAACAACAGAGAGCTCAAGGCAAAGCTGAAGAGGACTTGCTGAGTGCTTTGTAAGTAAACATAATTAAGTTCCTAAAAGAAATCGTAAATAAATAGATGTGGCTTTTTTTTGTGATCCCTTCATAATGCAACATTTTGTTTTTGTTGTGTTCAACAGGACCTTAGGCAAGCAGCATATCGGACAGCTGGACGGTGTCGATGACGGCTCGGAGAGCGATACAAGCGTCTGCACCACCAGCACCACCACCACTACAGCCACCTCCTCCTCCACCCCACACAAGAGCACGCCGAGGCGAAGGGGCCGAGAGAGGCACGCAGAGAAACCGGACTCCCATGACACAAGCAAGGATGCTGACAGTGGCGCAGGAGCAGTGAGCGGGAACACACGAGAGGGCAGAAAGAAGGGTCAGGGGCAGGACCCTCTCGAGGCTCAGCTGTCCCTCAGCACAGACCTGCTTAAATCTGATTCAGACAACAACAACAGTGATGACTGTGGCAACATTTTGCCGTCTGACATCATGGAGTTCGTCCTCAACACACCGTCTATGTCGATGCAGGCTCTGGGTCAGCAGTCTGAGCCCTCGTCCTCGGAGTTGCTCCTGGATGAGGGCTACGTTGGAGTGGATGTAAATCGGCCTAAAGACATTCTGTTTGATGACTTTTCTCAGCCGCTGCCCAGCACTGAGAGCGGAGGTGTAGTGGAGAGCAGTGTGAATAGCTCCATATCTGTAGAGGAACCGTATCTTCCGCTGGAGCTGCCCTCTGACCTCTCTGTCTTGACCACACGCAGCCCGACTGTCAGCTCCAGTCAGAACCACACTGCTGCTGGGAGCCTTATCTCTGATTCCTCAGACCGCACCATGCTGGGCTTGACCTCAGACACCGACACAATCAGTGGGGAGAAGAGCGGGGAAAAGAAAAGGGCAGTTCCGGTTGTGTCACCTTCAGAAAACCAGCACGAGGCTCCTACTTTGGGAAAAACAGATACACAGGTCACAGAAGGTCCCATGACCCCAGAGCAGTTCATTCCCAGCCCTGCAATCGGCCAGGTGGTTGAATCTCCAGGTAACCAGGATGTCCCAAGAAGTTCTGCCACCCATGGTTTGCCAAGTTCTCCTTCCCTGCCCCTCCAGGGTCAGAAATACCTCCAAGCATCAGCTGCAGTTGCAGGCAGCCCCAGTCCTGTTCCTGGCCTAGGACCATCCCAGGCCCAGGTTTCCAGTCCAGCAGTCATCAAACCGGGCCCTGATAAGCTCATTGTTGTCAATCAGCAGTTCCAGCCTCTCTATGTTCTGCAGACAGTCCCTAATGGTGTCACCCAAAAAATCAGTGCTGCAGGAGTGATGGAAGCTGGCTCTCCAGCTGTGCTGAGTTCCATGACGCTCACCACAGGCTTGACTACAGGTTTATCCATGGCTCAGCCGATATTTTCCACTGGTGGTAAAGTCCTGGGCACCATGTCTCACCCCTCCCAGATTCACACCTTCACAGGAGCCACAAGAGCAGGCTTTCAGACAGGAATCCCCAGCACCACCTCAGGGCTTCTCATTGGGTTGCCCTCTCAGCCCCACGACCAGTCCCAGATTCTGGTCTCAGAAGCTGGTCGTCCACATGAGCTGGGTCACAATGTTGCAATAGTGTCCAGTCCCTCCACCCTCGCCTCCACTCAGACCATTCTCGCATCTGCTCACGGAAAGAAGAGGCCCATCTCTCGTCTTCAGCCTAGAAAAAGCAAAAAGTTGGCCCGCTCCCGTAGCCAGCCCACCTTGGCCCCGTCTGAAGTGGGTCCCCCAAACATGACCCTTATTAACCTGTCGTCACCTCAAATTACCGCCAGCATCCCCGGCCAACCTGGCAGCCTGGTTGAATTAAGCACCCTCTCCACTTCTCAGCGCAAGGTGCCAAATATCATCAAGAGACCTAAATCAGGAGGGATCATGTACTTAGAACCAACTAGTCTCCTTCAGCAGGCGATTTCTGGTACAGCCCAGTCCGGTATCCTGGGTCATGATTCCTCCACTCACCTCATACCTTGCACCGTCTCTGGTCTCAACCCCAGTCAGTCTGTGTTGAATGTGGTGTCGGTGCCACCTAGTGGTGCCGCAGGGCCTATTGCACCAGGATCAGTGTCTCTGTCCACCCCCGTCCTCAGCTCTGCAGATATCACAGGGCCGATTAGTAACCTCCTGTTTAAACCCAGTCCACATAGCCTGGGCCTGTCTGATCAGCCAATGGTCCTTCAGTCAGCGGGGGGAGGCACTCTAATGTCACAGCTCAGCTCCACCATGCAGACGTCCATAGCCAGCAGCATCTGCGTCCTGCCGACCCAGCAGACCATAAACATGGCTGTCAACCAGCACGGAGAAACAGAGGGCAGCAATGTCCACTTACATCATCCGTCTCATTCTGTAAACAGAGCCCAGGCAATGGACTCCTCTCCAAACACCACTGGTACTTTAGCCCACACATCGTTGAGCCCTGCCAAGGGACGTGTTGTCGGAGTGTTCACCCAAACCTCTGCACACTCCCAAAGCAGTAGAACAACTCCCGTTTCCACGTCATCACAACAGATGCCACCTAACTCTGTTCCATCGGTCAAAGTTCTAGGATCAGAAAAAGGCAAGCAGAAAACAAAAAGAAGCAGGCAGACCTCAGACACAGCCAGCGGAAAGAAACTCAAGGCCTCTCAGTCAGAGGAGCATCACAGCAACCCTGCAGGACCACTACACTCAAACACAAGGTGAGCTACTTACCATGTATTTATATTGTTTTTTTTCTATTTATTTCTATTTACCTTTGTGTGTAATGATACATGATCAAAAAAAATCTCAGATTGGTTCTGCATCATTATTATGACTTATTAGCATAATGAGTGTTTTTTTTAAATGCCTTCTTAACATTCAAAGGAAAGATAGCATTGCTAGCACCTCCAGCCTTCGCTCGTCCTTACAGGTTAACGTCCACATGTCTGTGCTAAATGTGGTTGCACCTGGCTCCGGTCGAATAGATGTATACCATCTTGCCTGCGATGCTCTTACAGGATGCCATCTATCCACTGTGCTGGTTCTCACCCAGGAAGTAGAGCTGGGAGAGCAGGCCCATTAACTGGAGCTACAGCCCCGGCTAGTGGCAGATGGCTACATTACAGCTTAGACGCAAAACTTAACCAGCAATGCTGACCGATATTAATAAAAAAATATTGATAATTACCAGTAATTCTGGTGCCAATTATGCCTGCCAAAGTGGGCTTAAGAGTGTATTATTTATCCTTGAGATGCATTTTTGCATTTAGTTCAAGTACCAGCAAGTGAAATATCTCACTTTGACTGAATCTATTACTACCTATATTTGCACTGAACTTATTTTCCATTCTTAACCTCTCTCTTCTTCTTCACAAGCAGTTCCAAAGAGCTGAGCTCCCCTGAACCCATGGACACTGGAAAGCCAGCAGACAAGGCAGCAAACAAGAGGTATGACATTGTTCATGTGGAATACCCATTTTAATACCAATGAAAGACTTCTAATCTTTTCTTGTCATCTTTTCAGTATGATTGGTAAGAAGAAGACAGCTGAAGGTCCAGTTGTACCAGGGAAAGTAGTTGGAAGAGATAAACCATCTGCAGCAAGGGGAGCGGGGTCTCTTGCTGTGGCTTTACCACCTGACCAGGACGGCAACAGCAGAGATACCGCCTTGGATAGCAAACCCAAGAAGGGCATCATCTTTGAAATCTGCAGCGAGGACGGGTTTCACATCCGCTGTGAGAGTATTGAGGGTGAGAGAAAATGTGGTTGTATTTATAACAATATACTGACAGTTTATTTGATAAAGGTCACATAATGTGTTGTACAATTATAGCTGCAATGATTGCCTTGTTGTATGAAGTATAGTGCACACATGGCTGCTAACTTCACAGAGAATCCCTGTTTTTATATACAGCTTATTTTTCTTGACTTTGGCATGCATGTAAGGGTGAAAGGATTATAATAAAAGCTTTAAAGCGCTTATTCAGTGTTTGGAAAATGCTGTGGCGTCTCTTTCCTAACTGCCTCTTTCTTTACAGAGGCTTGGAAATCCCTGACTGATAAGGTGCAGGAAGCTCGCTCCCATGCACAACTTAAAGAGCTTTCTTTTGAAGGTGAGGCGTTGACTAACAAAGGCAAAGATATGTGTCTAATATAACATTGATTGGTAAACAAAAATGTTTTTTTCTCCTCGCCAACCAGGCGTGAACGGATTGAAGATGCTGGGTGTTGTTCATGAGGCTGTGGTCTTCCTACTCGAGCAGCTGTACGGCTCCAGGCACTGTCGCAGTTACCGTTTCCGCTTCCACAAACCAGAGGAAACCGATGAACCTCCCATCAACCCCCATGGGTCGGCTAGAGCAGAGATCATCCACAGGTGAGGAAGAGACTTTGACACAGGCCTACACATCGTGTCTACTAAGGCTGATCTTCCATCACAGGCCTGATTTCATCGACAGCCGAGTGTATTTTGGCCTGCAAATAAATAATGAATGACTTTGTGTACTTGGTTTGTATCTCAAGAATTTAGACTTTGATAATGTTATGCAGTTGCAATTTATTACTTCTACTTCTACCACTTTTTTACTCTGTTGTATTTATGCGCTGAAAATGATACCTAGTGCTAATAAACACGGCCGGACAAATCATAGACTGTATTAAAAAAAAAACATTAACGTAGTCTCAGTAACGTCACCCATTGAAGGTGGTCGCCATGTTGGAAATGCTATCTCAACCTAACTTTGAACCAAACCTAGAAACAGGCAAAGAGGTGGAGCTGATAATCCTGTGTGTTTGTGTTCTGACTGCTGTCTGCTATCTGTTTGTCTTTCAGAAGGTCTGTATTTGACATGTTCAATTTCTTGGCCTCAAAACACCGCCAGCCTCCTGAGTACAGGCCACAGGAAGAAGATGATGATGAAGGTCACCTAAGGACGGCCAGGTCAGCTGCAGTGCTCATAAACATTAAATACAAAACAGTCCTTTGTCTGCTGAGGAACCTGAGTCAGCTTATCTCATCATTATTGAGAAACCATCAACATGTCTTTGCATGCTTGTCTTGCAGGCGTGCCACCATGGAGCTCCCACTGACTGTGAGATTCAAACAGCTCAAGACCACTTCTAAGGAAACAGTTGGAGTCTTTCGGTTAGAACAACTGAGCTTTACTGTCCATTCTTTCCAAAACATATATTCAGATAGTCTTTGTGAATTTCAAGATCCTAAATAACTTTTAGGACAGTTTTGATTAACTTGAAGACGTTAAAAAAGTGGGTTTGCCATCACAAACAGCCTTATATCGCATTACCTTTCTGCAGGTCTCCCATCCATGGCCGAGGTCTGTTCTGCAAGAAAACCATCGACGCGGGGGAGATGGTCATTGAATACTCTGGAAATGTCATACGGTCTGTGCTCACTGACAAACGGGAGAAATATTATGATGGAAAGGTGAGGTCTTTTCAATTATTATGCTTTTCAGGCAGTGTCCATGTTGACTACATTATAGAGGGAGAGATGATTTGTCATGCTTGTGTGCTGGGAAACTGCTGCACAAGCATATATCACTACCACAGCAACGCATGCAGATAGATTGGACACATCAGTTCTGATCACATGCAAGTAAATGTGCAGACAGTTAGTTTAAGAGACCTGATTTAAAGAATACTTCTGATTTTCCTGCAGTGTGAACAAAAGCAATAAAGTGTTAGACGCGTACTGATTGTTCACTTTCTCAAAGGGGATTGGCTGTTACATGTTTCGCATCGATGACTACGAGGTGGTGGACGCCACAGTGCACGGCAACGCGGCCCGCTTCATCAACCACTCCTGCGAGCCCAACTGCTACTCCCGGGTCATCACCGTGGACGGCCAGAAGCATATCGTCATCTTTGCCTCTCGCCGCATCTACTGCGGAGAGGAGCTCACCTACGACTACAAGTTCCCAATAGAGGACGCCAGCAACAAGCTGCCCTGCAACTGCGGAGCAAAGAGGTGTCGCAAGTTCCTCAACTGACACTGGTTTTACATTTTCTTAATTTAAAGATGACTGAGGACGTTCTGAAGGGGCTCCATAGAGGAGTTTACTGTGGCTTCATGCTGATCCACACAGGATCATACTTTCCAACAGGGCCTGAGCTCTGTCAGCTTTTCTGCTGTTGTTAGCAGAACACAGCAGACACAGCTATGTACTGTGTATACAGGGCAGGCCATTTTGGAGGAGGGGCCATTTGTAGAAATTCCAACATATTGTGCCTCCTTTTCTCTCATTTACATTTGGCATGGGAAGTTCCACCTTCAGAGGTGTGTAATGAAACGGTTTGAGCCTTCACATCATTGCAATATTGATTCTAATTTACATGTGGGTGATTAAGTAACCCCTTCATAATGTTTTTTTTACATTGGCCCATCCTCCTTAATTTCCTAGAATACGTTATGGTCCACTATTGCTGAGATGTGAACAAAAAAAAACAAAAAAATCAAAGAACATGGATCCGTTTTTACACCAAAGTGCAATTTGTTGAAGGGATTTGGAAGAGTAATTTTACAAGAAAGAAAAATTAGAACCATGTTAGAAATCCTTTTTTTCTTTTTTTAAGTCGCAGTGTCAGCTGTTATTGATGCGCATCTTCTTGTCTGAATGTGCCCTGATGCCTTCAGAGCCAACGTTAACTGGTGGAAGACTCCCCTAAAGGTGGCAACACTGTAAAGGTTCAAGCTGTTAAAGCAGCCTGATGTGTACAGGTGGAAACACTAGAGGGAGCAGTGGCCACAGAGACAGAGAAAAAGAGACAAGAGGGGGAGGAAATGAAGATTTGTTTGAAGAAATAAAAAGAAAGGAGGTTAGGTTGACATTATGGTTGATATCTAAGGGTGATTCCAGACGTTGTAGTACAACAATGGATGTGTACTATGACAGCTTGGTAGCTATGTAGAAATGTTATTGATGGGATTAAGCCTCTGGCCTGAGAGAGCGAGGCAGCTAGAGACTCTGGTGGACTGACAGCCGAGGGACCGGAGAACCCTGCTGATGTGCTTTAGTAGATATATTTGTAAAAATATTTTTTTTTTTTTTTTTTTTTTTTTTAAAGCTGTGATCCTGATACAGCCAATGGATCTGACAGAAACATAGAAGGGTTTGTGCATGTTGTGCTGTTGTTCTTGTCAAAACTTGTTATTGGTATAAGCTTGGACTCTTGAGTCACGTTCCAAATTACAGCAGCAAACAGAACCAAACATCTCGCCCTTGAATTGAATTTCACAAAGCTTGTTTTCTTCTTGGCCTATTGTGATAACTATTAATATGTAAAATGTGTTTTTTTTTATTTGTATTAAGTCTTTTAAAGTCTGTTATCTGTCTTTTTATTATGGACAGGGAAATATCATGCATTGCTTTTAAAAAAAACATGTAAATAATGTATATTTTTCTACAAAAAGACTTAAAAAGCACTCACTAGTGAATAGCACTTAATGATGGTATTTATATTTTTAAAAAATCCTATTTATTTTGTTGCCATTTTTGTAGGAAATAGAGGTTTACAAACACTAATGCTTTGTCTCTATGTTTTGTATTCCGCTGCCTTTTTACAATTCTTCTTTTGTTTTGTTTCAGTTTTGTTTCTTGTTGGGTTTCTTTTTTTTATTTCGTAGCCTGAATGTTTTCTTTGATTCCAAAGACTGACACTGGTCTGTGGCTTGGTCCCCTCTTTAGTTCAGTCCACCAGTAGCTCTTTTATCTATCCCAGGCCATTGGGTCAGAGCTGACAGGTTCTTTAAAATTGTTCTAGTTCTAGCTGGCAGTACGGCTGTTTATGTGAACTATTATTATGCACTTGAGAGAGTTTAGATTGTTGATCCAGAGCTGACATCTCCTCTCTCCAGCCTTATCCTCTCCACACCGCATCGAGCCAAGAAGCAAGTCCACTCAACAGAAAGTCACTTCAAAATGACTCGGTTTTTCTTGTCATTAATCGATCATTGATTGACAGGCATTCAGCCGATCTGCACATAAGTCAAATTAAACAAGAGTCCCTTTGGTTGTTAAGAGTTTGTCCCTTTTGAAGACTCAGTTTATAACAAAGAGTTGCCTTTATTTTAATGCTACCGACACCATCTATCATACCTCCATTAAGCCAACCTGTTAATGAGGAAAACAACATTTATTCCTGCTCAGAACTCCTCCGTTTCTGACCAGCAGTTTGAAGTCACTATTGTTTTGGTCTTCTTCACGATGCCTTTTTGGACTGACTGGTTCCACTTTCCATAGTTCCTTTTTCAATGGTGTTATTGTTGTCTGTGGTTCATGCTGACCTCGTCCTGCAGGCCGTCCGCCATCACTTCCACACTGCTCCTTGTTGTGAACTGAAACCACGCATGGTTTGCACTTCTGCGGTGACACAGGCACTGAATAGATGTAGGAAAAAAAACTCAGCTCTTCTCTTAAGAGACAGATGCAACTCCAATGCTGAAAACACAAGCACACAAAATCACTGAGGAAGTTTGTGCATGAGGCACTGATGTAAAAAAAAAAAAAAAAAACAGCTCAGTCAACTGGGATTGGTCTACAATAATCCAGAATGTGGCAAATGAGGCTCTCTAAAAGTGCACTTGACTCTTTCTTTATCTGCAACAAAGTGAAGGCAGGGACCACACCAGCAGTCCTATCCTTCCTGAAGGGGCAGTGTGTACAAATCCTCTGCTGTGCTTTTCCATTTAGGGCCCTTGACCAGGTGTTGTAGGCCCCTTTTGTCATCTGACAGGCCAGCGGCGGGGTTGTACGGCTGCACCTTCATCTGACTCGCTGGGTTCTGCTGCTAAGGTCAACAATGAATGTATATTCCTCCTCCGCATCATCAGACATGTGATGATGTAGAGTCTTTGTCAGCCACATTTTGTTTTCAGTTCTTGTGTCAACTAGTAAATATGACCTCAAACTGGGCAGCAGCAACAGAATAATACACAAGTGTGAACAGCAGTGGGATACGTGTCTGTAAGACACCTGGTTTGTCCTGGGTAAGCTCACAACTCAATGCTAGCATCGGTAATAACACTTTTACTGATGCAAAGGGCTCTGTCTATGACTTTCACTTCTCGAGATCTACTTCTGAAGGTCAGAGGGTTCAGTGATCAATAAGTCATTTATTTCTGATATACAATAAGGGAATGGTCTCTGTCGTTTCTTTGGACTTCATTTCACCATGCCACACCAGTGGCCCTTCTCCATCATTCTCTGTAATTATAGTATAAATACATAATATTATACGGAAACATGCATAGCAATTTCTTGTACTTTAGTATCTATACAATATATGGAATGGACAGACAAACTTAGTTACAGTAGCAAAACAGCAGATTTATAATGGTTAATAGCAATGTTTCAATGTACTCTATAATGGTTTTTGTGTTGCAGTATCAGCTGAAACTAACGTGCATCATTCTTTTGTATATTAATATCCAGTTCCAATTTTGCCGTGCCTGTGAGCGCTCCTTCCTCAGCAAGAAGCGCTGCAGTTTAGCTTTCTCTTTTCTTTCTGGAAACAAAATGGTTTTTATGTGATCAGAAATGTAATTGTATTAATGTGGTTGTGAACTTTCTTGGGGTCAGCCTTTTTCTTTTCTCTCCCTCCCCCCCCCCTCTGGTTGTTGTAGTGAACGTTTTTTCTGTTTATTTCTTTGTACGTTTTAACAGGGACTTTTTAGACGGCTTACTTGATGTGCTATAAATGAAGAGTTTGGTTTATGGAGACTGAACAGAAAGATCCCATCAAAATGTGGTTTGTCATTTTGGAAAAACCTTTTATGTCTCCCAGATCATCTCTCTCTCTCTCCCCCCCCCCCCCCCCCCTTTCTGAAGCTTTTGTTGTACTTATCATGTACTGTTTTTATAGAAAGTCAGAATTCTGAAATAATGCCGATGTTGAAAACATTTAATTTATTTATTTTGTGCAACATCCACCCTGAATTGTTATTTTTACAAGTCAAGGTTTGGGAGAGCTAGGAAGAGTACGTAAAGTGTTTGTAATTTTTCAATTGTTTCTTGTGTATAGAAGTTATCAGCCGAGGATGGGATGTCATGTCACGGAGGGAGCCGGTGGTAGGAAGAACAAAAAAAAAACAACAAAAAAAAAAGGAATCATGGATTATGAACAGGCTTGTTTCTTATGCCTTGAATATACCTTTGTCTTATCAATATTCCTCCTGCTTTGTAATAACTGTCAACAGTCATTTTTCTCTCCCGTTATAACAGTGTTATTTCAATACACAATAACAAAATGAAGGAAAACCACAACCGTGAAAATGAACCACAAACTACTTGGTTGAATGTATAATTAGGAAACAAAGTTGTACATAAGTGTAAAAAGAAAAGTTTCTAATCATGTTTATTTTCTATGCACTTTTTTATTTAAGTGATAGTTTAAATAATAAACATGTCTCCTTTACTGTTGTGTGTCTCTTGCGTTGTTCACTGTAGGCCTAAGCAGCTACTGATTTTATAGAAACACAATCTCAGTCCAATAAATTGTGTAATAGTTAAATAATAGCTCTGCTGCCATCATGTGCAGGGCTCCAATTTTCGTTCAAAAAATAATGTCAGCTTTTACACTCCCCTAGATAAAACCAGATACTAGATACATCAGGAGAAAACCATAGACTGTAAATATTAAAACTCGTGTCTCATAAGGGTCTTGTTTTGGGGCGTGGCAGAGTTTCCGTCTTTGTTTATCAACGGAAAAAATACAATGACAACGTTCACAAATATTGTTAAAATGTGATTTTAAAAAGTGACTTAAGAAAAAGTCACAGCATTTTAATAAATGTTGGTTAGATGTGGAGAAATGTTGCTGTGCTGGTTTTTTTTTTTACACTAAGCGTCCCAATGAGATAATGCCTTCAAGAGCCATCGGAAATATGACAACTACACGTGGAGAGAACCAAATCCAAAGGTAGAACAAAATATGAGTTCTATTTTGATTATAAAAATGAAAGCGACTGTGTGTGTGTACATTACACACTATGGATTCTAATTCAAATGTATAGTGCTAAAATACCTGACGTTAAAAAATGCCAATAAAAACCATGGGAAGGAAAATATACTTAAGTAGACTATATACAACATTTGAATATAGAATTTGTTGTTCTTCAAAAACTGTGATCAAAAGTTGTGTTATTGTGTTTTCACCATAGACTGTAAATATTAGTGTTTTCACACATAAACATAACTCCTGACCCAGATAACACAGTCCGACCTGAATGGTTTCTGCCACTATCAATTACACAGAAGAAAAAAAAATGGACTGTTAAAATTTCACCTTGATTCAAACACATCTTTTGGTATTGAAAATAAATGAATTGCGACAAATTTAGAAGTGTGTATGGAAGCCCATTTCCGCCAGTAAAAAATAAAATAAAAATAAAAATAATAAAGTCTCATAATTTCAATTCATTATTTTGACTTATCTTATTATTATGACTTTATATCGCATAATTTCGACTTTATATCTCATAATTTCGATTACCATTTTTATTAAGTAAGTCAGTAAGTGTGCCATATTTAATCTTTTAAAAACAACTTCATGGCCAACAGCACGGAAAGGCAACACCAAACGACGTATGACGTAAGCACGCAGCTGCCGTGTTTGGTTGTGTTCGAAGTAAAAAAAAAAAAAAAAATATCTAGGAAGGGATCAAGGAAACCTCTAGCATCGAAGATAAACACCCCGAAGAGGTGTGAGCCCAGCTAGCACACAGCTGTCACAATAACAACGGGACTGTAAAAAAAAAAAGAAGGAGTCCTTGATTACAGCGAGGGTCAACATGTCCGAGACATACGGTATGTTAGTGTAACGTAATGCTAGCTGTTAGATACACACTGATACTCTGTGCTGAGATGATACTCACTGGCTCTTAGCAACGCCGCTAGTTAGCTGGCTGCTCAGTTTAGCTGCCAACTCACCATGTCTGCGATTTGAGATGTTAATAACTAAAATTCGCCTTTTACATGTGATTCAAAGTAACCTGTGTTCTTGAGTTGCCTCGCCTGTTATTCACGGACACCTCCTGTCCCACGATGGTCGGAGGTTTACGTCGCTTCCACGGACAGTAACACTGAAGACACTGTGTGATTCAGTTTCAGTTTCAGGTGTAAAGTTGGACAAACTTGAGGCACACAGTTACAGTATCATGTCGATAAATGAAGTGTGTGTGTGTGTTTGCAGACATGGGAGGGTATCCTGAGCTGAGCATCCTGGTCACATTGAGTGATTCATGTTTTAAGTCAGTCCTAGGTTTTGTGTGTTTGTACCCTAAGAGGTAGCTGTGGCTAAAAGGCCTTCCATTAAGAGGAAGTTAGCTGAGTGTGGCAGATACCAGGTGATTCAGTGCTATACACTTCACTCCTGTTTGCACTTCACTATCTCTATTACATGTTAGTGATGATACCAGACACCTGTCTGCGTGCATGGACATGATGACCAGCAACCAGGAAGTCCAAAGTATTGTGGACACATTTTAGTTAACATGACTCTGCCTGATAGTATTATTAACATAACAGGTCTGACGATGTAGATCAAGTTGTTTGAAATTGTTGTACTGTTCCACTTGATCTCTCTCTCTCTCTCTCTCTCTCTCACACACACACACACACACACACACACACACACACACACACACACACACACTGACACACACTGACACACAAGCACTTACAAATATGCACTCACTCTCCATCTCTCCACTTGTACCCTGCTCCCACGTCCTTGTATGAAACTTCAACGCTGTGGGCAGAATTTGTGTAAAAGTGCCAGTGCCAATGGTCGCAGTAATAGTCCTTTTATTGATCTAGACAGTTGCATTTGAAACACAAATAATCAATCAATAAGCTCATCAATTTCGTAAACGATGTCTCACAATAACTAAAATCTCTGTCTATATCGCCATCTCCATATATATATATATATTTTTAATTCAAACATCTCCTGTAACAACGCATCAATGCTCTGCGGAGTTTATAAGTAGATCTGAAGACAGGTCAGACATGGACCTAAATGTTGTCACAATGTGAGTGAATGCAGATTACAGTGTCAGCCTGCTCCCTTGGGTTATTTAATATTGACGTGTAAAGAATACAAACGCCTGAAAGGCTGTTGTTGGGAGGAAAGCAGTGCATTCCTCTCTCGCTGATGCTCTGACATATTGACTGCTTGATCTTTTGTATGCAGGTCTCACATGGGAATATGCTGGAAAGCTGAGGCAAGCTTTTAAAAAAAAAAAGGAGCGGTTAGCTAAGCTTGTGAGTTTGTCACTCCTTGCTGTCACGACCATTGATAACATGTGGTTGAGCTGTAGTGCTGGACACCGTAAGTGCTCCTGGGCTCCCCTTGCGTCTGCTGTTCTGACACCGTGAATTTGACCCCTAGCATGTGTTGCCTGAGAAAACACAGACTCCAACGAACAAATGTGCACCATTTACTCTCTGTCTGTGCCGGCGATGTGTTTTGACAGTTGAATGTGACTCCAGGAGCCCTGGACAAGTCATTTTAAATGTCACACAGGAGCAATCCAACCTGTACCCTATTTCCTTTTTAAACTACTGTTTCTGTTGACCTTGTGAAGAGCTGAACACTCCCAGAATGCTAACCTTAAAAACGTTTGTGACCAATCATTAGCCAGGCTAGAACGTTTGACTGCAGGGCATGTGCTTAAGCTTTAACTGAGATTGCACACTCACCCTCTTCAAATTCTAACTGAGGCAGGTTCTGCGCAGGAAAGTTGCTATTTGCAGTTATTACACATGCTCGCTCGGGCGTCATCACTGTCAGGTTTCCTGTTATTCTTTTACAACTTCTCTGGCCGTAAGACACACACACACACACACACACACACACACACACACACACACACACACACACACACACACACACACACACTTTTCATTTAGTCAAATTAAAGCAAACTCTACATATGTAAATGCCTCCTGTACTTATGTTTTAGTCTCTGCTCACTCAACGCTGCCTGCACTATGGTTGTAATTGAATGTCAAGAGTCATTCGAGTTGTGGACCATGTGCGTGGGCTGGCTTGTTCTCTCCGGAACGAGGGCCCACTCTCCACAACAACAACATCTGCACAAGCAGCTGGCTGTGGTTATTCAACCCTGCACAAGACAGCTAACCTAATCCATGTTCAATAACTCTTAAGCTTTGGCTTAGCTCTGATGACATGTGTTATTAAGTGCCGGTGTTGGTGTCATGTTTTACCTCAGACAAACAAGCATATTTAATAGGAGTTATAAGTAGCTGGTAATGGTGACAGGTTGTGATTAGGAGGCTAATTTGGGGCTGTTATGTGCTGTGAAAGTAGATGCTAAACAGGATTAAGAGGAACTCTTGAGGATTGTCCCTGGGGGAGCAGGTTCAGGTTCTCCTCCTTACGTCAGTGTTGCATTAATCTCAGCCTCCACTCTGCTTTCAGACTTCCTGTTTAAGTTCCTGGTGATTGGCAGCGCTGGGACGGGGAAATCCTGCCTCCTCCACCAGTTCATTGAGAACAAGTGTAAGTGTTCCCTCATTGGAGCCCATTAGTCACAGCAGGTTTGCAGTAGAGTGAAAACATAATTGTATTATTACACAGACAGATATTGAAACGGTCATGGAATTAGAGTGGGTTTCCTGAGCTGCATTCCAGTAAAACCTTAAAATAAACCATCTCACTCAGCTGTAAGGTAACATAGAAACAATGGGATGTGTTATGCCTTCTGTCCAGATTCCTAACCAACAAAAAAAGGATATTATCCTACTTTTCTTTAGCCGAGACCTAGAAAATCCATACTAAACATTCAAAAGAATGACTCCTTTTTATGGTGAAAATCTATACAGGACCTAAAATAAAGTAAAGTGCTCATAAAATTACATTAAACTCAATTTATCTGTATAGTGCAATCCAATAAAACAACCCAATTGCTTCTAAGTGCAATCGAAACGGTCTGCTTAACCTGTTATATTGGCTGGTACAGGTTTGAAAAAAATCCACAGTTTGTTTTTTGAGTGAGTAATCTTAAAACTATTTTAAAAAAAAAAACCCAAGAGCACAGTATACATTCTCTCACACGCTTGTATTTGATTAAAGTGGTGTTTGATCTCTGTGCTGTCCCTGTAGAATAAAAGGGGGGGGGCAGATGTGGTTATGAGATGTATGAAGATAACAACTTGGGTATTTAAATAAAGCAGAACACACCTACACATTATAGAGTAGCAGTCTAGGGAAAATGTTACAAGTGTTTTCTCCATGATAGCAGTGCACACCAGTTGGTTGAATAGAAAGGTTTCATTTTGCTTTGAAGAAGTTCATGCCAAGATTTTTTCTGTGCTGTTTCTGTCTCCTTGTTTCACTCTCTTTCTTCTGCGTCTCTGTTGCAGTTAAACAAGACTCCAACCACACTATCG